TGCATCCCAAGCAATGGGCTGACAAAATAGTCCCATCTTTTTCGGAAATGACTCAAATGTTCACTAAAGGATCAGTCATACGCTGTGAATGCCGAACACTTGCTCTCACGACATACTTGCCGGCGATTAAGCGATTACTTTGCCTACAACTGAGGTTACAAATCCCGACACCATTTTATTAATTAAACGCCTCCAGACTCTTGAACGCCTTGAACTGCTTGTTGGTGTAGAAGCTGGTCTCAAGAACGAGGTAACTCAGCAAGTCCGAGACTTCCACAGGAGGCAAGCATTCTGGACTGAACTGCTCGGCTGTAATGCTTGCGGGGTCAACCCCGATGACCGAGATCTTTTGCGAATATCTTTCCTTTACTCGACTCTCTAAGCTTTTGGCATACCCAGAGAGCACTGGGATACCTTTAGATGGATGCCCGGTACTTTTATCGTTTTTTTTTCTTTCTGGATATTCATGTAGTTGGCGAAATAATAGAGCGGTAATAGAGAAGCTTCGAGAAGCTTCATTGTAGAAATGGGCTATTGTTAGCATAAATTTGACACCCTAGGGACACCAACATGGCGGACACTGATTTGAGCAAAGCTTGTGACGTCACGTGAAACCCAAGAATAGAGTAATAGTAAAACGATTCATAAAGATCTATCTGTCCAATACAACATGTGGTTTCCTAGCTGAAGGCCAGCTTTAGTTATTCTTTATGTTTACACTGAAACATCTATTAAACTAATACGCTTGGTTAGGAGACTGACACTGAGCTTGCGTAGACTATTTGGCGTGACGTCAGCGTCTTCAAATCTAAAGGAGAGATTTCTCTGATATGAGGTATTCCATGTAGTTTACAGCAAAGAGAGATAAGAATATCATTATATCTTTCCCAGCATGGTCAGGAAGACGTAAGGATGATGCTTAATATAATAACATCGACAAAAGATGTAATTACGCCCTGTAAAGCGGTGCGAAATACTTCAAAATATGAAGCTTAAGAACTTTTGTAAAAAAGTATGTTTTGATTAAATTGCCATTTCGTTTTGCATTACTTCATTTTCTTTAATTTCGTTGTTCAAATTTTGGTTACTTTTTTGATTCGACTATCTACGTACATTACTGGAAAATATTATATTTTTGACAAAATTTCTTTTAACTTCCATCTTTACTTGGGCATGCAGAGTGTACAAAAATATCACTTTTTCAAATAACACGAGAAGCAATTTGGGAGAAAGCGAAAGGTTTTTAAAGCTAGACTGACCTGAGGCTTAAGCTTACATAAGCAATACAATCTTCAATTACCCAAATCTATTGAACTAAGCAATTGTTTTATAAAAAAAACTTAGATTGTCACATTCGGTCGCTTTTCTTATTAACCTGTACTATACATTAGCAATGGGCAATTCCCTCTATAAGACTTTTCCACCCGCGCAGACAATGCCAACAGAATTCGTAAACTTTCTTTCTTTTCTTACTACACAACGGACAAATTACTCGTATGTGCTTTTTGTCACCTCGTTCTACCATCGAGTTGCACTTGGGACATACTTGAACACCCATAGCCTCGATCAAGTAGGTCCTGGAGATTTTCTTCTCAAACTCCTCTATTTCTTCTCTTCAAAACAGCCAAGCGTCTCACCTCTATGTAGTCCCATTCTTTGCCGCAATAAACTGGTGGTTGGTCCTGGCTGATGTAGAAATCGCGATCGGCCTGCGTCCAAGATGCTGCGACAAAACATGGTCAGAGATTCTGGAGCTAAGAAAAAAAACAGATAAAACGGTTTAGGGTCAAATGGTTTAGGGTCAAAATAAGGACATCGCTTCATTAAATGCGTGGCGTCATTTCTGGGGAAAAGTCCCAGCTCTGTAGGTCATGTTATACGATACGATACGATACGATTGATACGATTGATGCCGATGATCAGATTTTGAATTGTAAGAGAACTTATCGTTTTATTATTATTTATTTAAAACGGAAAGCTTTTTTGAGATAATTTTTAGAAACTATTAATTCCGCCGCAGGCTATAAACATGAACTTTTTAAGATAAAAATGGCGATGTAAATATCACCACAGGGACGCAATTTTTCTCAGGGAACAGGGAACAAAGACAGGAAGTTTTCTCACAATACATTCACGATGATCTAACAATTGAAATTAGGTAATCTACTATTGAAGGGTTCATATGGGCTGAAAGCAGTTTCTGTTCGTTCCCCAGTTTCCAGCATTGGTATACATTTGCAGATTTCGCGCGTTAAAGAAGTCTTTTCTGAGAAAATATGCTCGGGGCCGTTTGCGTGACTTCCGCTTCAATGTTGAAGGGGATTTCCCTTGGGTATTTTCCCTGGGACAATTCCCTTGGCCAGCTGACGTTGTTAAAAGTTGGTTAGACTGCTGACAGACGGTTTTTTCACTGAGGGTCACTTACACTGCACTTAGGCGAGTGTTTGAAGCTTCTCGCCTCATAACCCCTGCTGAATTTCGAGAGAACAAACAGACTGCCAGCAGTCTAAAAGTTGGTTGTCTTGAAATTCAAAAACAAATCAAGACTTACGGATATAAACAATGAGTTTGAAAAGAGATTTTATTCCAAGGTAAGAAAATCGTAAGTACTTGAATAGCTGGTTTTGACATGACGTCACTAAAATTCAAACAACAAAACTGTTGATCTTCGTGAGATTTTACTTTAATGATGTATAAGAGCAGCTGAATACAAATTTTCGCTCCGAATGGGTTCTTG